TTTTTTTTTTTTTTTTTTTTACCTTTACAGTGTAAAAGGCAGGAGATTGGATTAGAGACCCGAGGTGCCAGCAGCGAAAAGGGGATCTGAATGTGTGCAATAAAAAAATCCTATATATATTTATAAAGATTATTGTAGACAAGCTGGGGAATGAGGCACAGCTGCATTCCAGCCCTAGTGCCACTGGAAGGTGGGTCTCTTTTTATAGTCCAGGTGAGAGGTCTAGCTTCAGGACAGTTTGCCTGGCTGGGGGCATTCACTGGGGTGCTGAGTGATGCTGAACCCCCTGCACTGCCCTGGCTTCCTGAAGGCTGTAGGGGCTTTTGGTGCCTTTTAACTTGGCCTCCTCCAGAGCGTGGATGTGCCCTCCTGTTGGCTGGCAGCATCCTTGTGGCAAATGGATACTGAATTGCCATCGTCATCCCCACTGGCACCATGGCTTGGCTTTTATTAAGCTTTTTGCAAAGCACAACTCTTCCTTCTGGGGCCCCTGTGTAGTTTTATCCAGGGCTACATTTGCATCGCCATCAGGTGGTTTTCATTTGACCTTCGCCCTGCTTAAAAATTAAATACCGAGGTACTAGGAAGAGAAGTAATCTCTCAGATAAGCACTTTTTCCCTGCTCTTCTTTAATTCACAGGGGAGCTGGCTTACTCTGCCTGTGGATGACTAAGGAGGAAATTCTTTTTTGGTTAGGATAATGCTGACAGTTCACTGGAATTTTTTTTATCATGGGTTTATCACTTCCTCCCTTCGAATTCCTAGCTCTTATGTGCAGGGCAGGAAAAAAAAATAGTGGTGACCACAAGTTATGGAATTTGCCTTCTGTGGAAAAGATGCCAAACAGCTAAATGGTACTGTCAGGTTTGCTGGGGTTTGCATAGGGGATTTGCTCCATATCCAGTTATATAAACAGTATGGGTAAGAGTCATGAATATTCTAGCAGCTATCATCTTTCAAATGTGTTTTTTTAATGTTAGAGCTAATTAATGCTCATATCTCTTGGATATAGGTGAGTGTAAGCCTGCTCATCTCTTAGGTGGGGAGGAGGTTTGGATTTATCACAGGTCTCACAGAGATGGCAGAGTCTAAGTCAAGTTTATGTGTAATGAGTTTCTGGGTCATCTTGTTAATCTCCTTGCCTCCCTTTGTTTATAGAGGGGATCTGGATGTGTGTCTCCAGAGAACTCAGAGGAGCTTGGCCAGAGAGACTCTGCCTTTAGGTTAAACACATGTGTGTTCTCACACTGTTTGCTTCCCGATGGTGTTTGGTGATTGTGCTGTTGATCCTTCTGCAAAGGCTTGACACTGCTGCTGAAAAGCTTTGACACTGCAAAGCATTGTTTACTTATGAAAGTGCTATTATATTTTGAATATCTATAATTCATCTCTTGTGCTCAAAGTGACATTATATCATAAAATTGCTCTTATATTTCAGAGCTTTGAGGAAAAGCTGTTTTTTTGTCCCAGACTGTCTGTGACAGTACTGGAAAGTGCCTTACCCTTTGTATCTCTGTAGACCCCTTTTATGAATTGTGAGTGACAGCAGGAAAGTATAAAAGAGCGCAGAGGTGCTGTTTTTGATGTTTATAAAAGGCTTTGATAAAAGATGCAGCACACAGACTTGATATTATTTCCTATTTTTAACTTCTTAAGAGCAGAGAGCTCTCAGATCCAATATTTATGTAAAAGGGGGAAGAGGGGGGCTGTATTTCTTCTTTTTTTTTCTTTTATTTTTTTCTTTTTTAGAACCAGGTGATTTAAAATAGGAAACTGTCTCTCTTCCATGCCCTAGTAAAATTTTCTTCCACGAAGCATCAGTAAAGTAAACCCATGGCATTAATTGAGTGGATGATGCTGGAGCAGACCAGCTGTGGTTTTGAAGGCTCCTCGGTTGAAAGTTTGTGCCTTCAACCTCCCAGCTGTGGCTGGCTCCAGCAGACCCACCAGCCATGGTGCTGTGTGTGGTGAGGCCTGCACTTATAATAACGGGCCTTTCCACTGAGAGTTGGAGAAATAAAACATGGGAAAGCCAGGGCAACTCCTCTCCTTCCTCTAAAAGTCAGATCACAGTAAAGGCATCTCTCTAATAAGTAGTTTTGCTTGCTCCACAGAGATGCAAGGCTGTTGCTGACTGGGTAATTGCAGTTTTACTGATGAAAGTGCTTCTCATTATTTCCAGCCTGCATGTTGCAGTCTCCTCTTTAATCTCATCTGCCAGCATGGCTGGCTGGTGGTGGGCCTCTGTACTCTTTAATATTTCCATGAGTGTACACGTGAGCGTGTCCATAGGATTTCATCAGGCACTTTCCCATGTGTGTGCACACAGACACACCAGGATAGAGAACACGTGTGAGGATGAGCACAGACCGCGAGTGCATGAGTGGCATTGGCACAGCCATTTGCCATTTTGATCAGGTCCTTCATCCGTACAAGGGCCTTCGTGCTGGATATCAAGACTCCTGATGAATGGCAGCGTGCAGACCTGTCCTTGAGAGCCACCTGAGGACAAAAGTCATCCTCTTGCTTGAAACCATATATTCTGTTTTACTGGGGCTAAATGCCTTGAAACACCCAGTGCCAGGGAGGACAAATCCTGCTGTGTCCTGGAGAACCCCAGGACAGAGCAATGTTGCCAAGTCTTGCTGCAGTGCTGATGAAGAGTTGATCTTGATGGTATGAGCACAGCAATAGCTGTCAGTGGGGGTTTTGAGTTCTTCAGCAACATGCAGTCATCCAAGGGGCCATTCAAGGAAGGTGCTGGGTTTGAAGTAGCTGGGCTTGAGCAAAGACATCCAACCTCTCATGCATATGAGGTGAATAAGCACCTACTCTGTTCTCTGTACAGGAATTTGAATGCAAAACCATAAAAACAAAGGGAATTACCAGCCTTGGGTGGTCATGGGAAGATGCTGAGAAGTGTGTTTGCTTAGGAGTTGTTGCCCTGCCTTTGCTGTTCTTCTAGAAGCTTGCAAAGCTGGACACTGAGGTCTATGGGATGAGATGCTCATTTGGGATGTGTTGGCATAGCACTATGCCTGCTTGATAGCCTTGCCTCTTGCGTGTTACTTTGTGGTGATGAGTGCCCAGTTACATTCCAAGAGGTAGACTCCAGAGTGTTTAACAGGGCCCACATATGACTTTAGGGAATGAAGCACATAGTTTTTTTTTCCTGCCTTACCTGTGAAACTGTGTAACACCACACGTAAGAAGGTGCTGTTGTCCTCTGCTGCATGACCTAGTGGACTTAGCTAGCTTGTGGCCGTAGTGTGTCAGCATGTACAGGTCTCTTGTCAACTTCTGACAGGTTGTTCAGTTAGCAAAAAAGATTGGGTATCCTCAGTTCTTCTGTAATGTATGGGAGGACTTTGTTGTTCCACTGAAGTGGGCACTGTGGTAAATTGGAAAAGCTGTTGCTGAGTCCAGAAGAGACAGGTCAGGATAGGACTTGTTGAGCTGGAGTGACACTGTGCTGTGCCCCACCTGTGGTACAGGTGTTTGGGGTGTCCTCACTGTGATTTAGTGCCTGCTGTGCAGCAGCTTGGGTGCCTCGGGTTGCATTTCCAGCAGCAATCCAACTGCCTCGCTGCAAGCTGGCGAGGAGTGGGCTCCGGAGCACAGTGGGAGCTCTCCAAAACCTGGGGCTCTGTGTCATTGCACAGAGCTGTGCCAAAGCATCTGATTAAATGTGGACCTTAGCTGGCAAGAGCTACAGTTCCTCTTCTGTTCAAAGAAGCTGGGAAAGGCTCCCCAAAACAACCACTGGAGAAAGTGTCCAGATGAAAGGTCTGGTAAGCGTCAGGGTCCCCTCTGCTCTGTTTTCAGGCTCTTCTGTAATCAGCTGTCATTTTGGGATCTGAGCATATTGGACGTCAGCAAGTATGGATTGAAACTTAAACAAACAGTGACTCTTCTATAAATATTTAGCGCACACTGTTTAGGAGCTGCTGGGAATAGGAGACAAAAAAGAAGTTTAAAGTTCATGACAGTCTAGAAAAGCTATCGGAGGATGGCACTCGGTCACTGGATCAGCTGGCATGTAGGTTTGAATTGCTAATCCTCCTTTTTTCCATCTCCTGGAAAACAGGATTTGTTTAAGCACCTTTTAGAGAGACATAAGGTTGCACTCTTCCATTGCTTACACAGCTGCACTGGCGACTCAGATCAATGCAGAGATCTTCTTCAGCTTGGCTGGTTGAGCTGGATGCCCAAGAGGAGCCGTGGTGTGGAGTAAATGGGTGATGTTCCCTGGCCCTACACATCTTGGCAAATTTGGACTGGTCATCTGAAGTTCGTACATCTGCATGGAAGAGAGGGATATGTCTCCAAGTGTGTTCTTCTCTCTGGCCACCTCAATACCAGGACAGAGGCTTGCCCCCTTGCCGGCTGCTGCTGAAGGGGCTGGGGTCCCCTGATGGAGCTTGTTTAGACAGCACTAGATCTTGGGCTGCTTTCTCTTGCAAAAGCCTCAGTAGTGAGGTAGACTTATCTCTGACAGCCTTTTTTGCCTCTTAAATATGAAGATAATATCCTTTTATTTCACTTTACAGAGGTCTTGAAAGAATGGGAAAGAATGAAAGGTGCTGATAAGAAGTGGTATCGGTAGCTGAGACTGGCAGAGGCACACGTGCTTTGAATAAGCAGGGAACTTCAGCATGAACGAGAGTCTGAGACTATTGATTAGAAAGAAGAATAAAGATCAGTCATTGATTATTTTCTTTCTCTCTCCCCTTGCTCTTCTAATACGGAGTATTTGCAGTTGAACTCGATGATGGTTATAGGTCTCTTCTGACTATTGTTTCCTATCCTATCCTATCCTATCCTATCCTATCCTATCCTATCCTATCCTATCCTATCCTATCCTATCCTATCCTATCCTATCCTGTCCCATCCCATCCTGCTAATATAACAGTAAACACAAAATGTTTGGCATGCCCTATGAAATGCTTTGCAAGTGCTTACACCACTGCTGCTCCTGATTGCTGCATCCTGGGGCTTTCTGTACCAGAATGACTAGTGTGCCTGGAAGATTAATGGCAGAGGAGAAAATGTGAGGGAAGGACAGGTAAGAAAAAGGTAAATTTCTCATTTCCAGGTTGCTGAAACCACTTTTGAGGTTTGGGAGAAAATCTCAGTATTTTAGTTGGAGGTGGTGGCGGCGAGCTTGATGCTTTTTCTCTTTCAATAGTTTCTTTTACTGCCCTTCCTAATTTGAAAGGAGGTGTTTAAATTATTAATGTTTTGCCACCAAAGCAGAGGGATTCTAAAGACTTTGGCAAATCTCTGCTAAAACATTTATCTTAAAAAAGAGCCTCACGTTTTTTCCCAACTCTGACAGAGCTCCCCTTCCATAAGAAGCACTGAATCTACAGAGGTGGACAAAGAGCTTGATTTATGTAGAAGGTAATTTTCTCCAGTGTTGTGTGGCCAGAAAACATAAATGTGATAATGATTTCCATTGTTTGACAAAGCCTTTGCAGATCTTTGTGTTTCTGCCTGTTGATGAAGCAACACTATGCCATGGGTGAGCGCAGGCACATGGCCCTCTGGTGCTGCCTGTGAGGGATGGGTGCCTTTACCTGGTCATTCTGGTCACAACCTGTGCAGTATCCTGGAGAAAAGAGGCAGCTGAGACTTCAGACATCCTCATCGAAGCTGTAGTTGTTGCTCAAGGCTCTCATTAGATTTACAAAACATTTGCCTGCTAAACCTCCCCATTCTCTTTAGGTGTTTGTCCTGATTTTTTACCAAATCTCCTTCTTGCTACTTGAGCTGAAGAATAAAGTATTATAACTTTGGCTTGAGGCAGCTGTCCAAGGGATATATTGGGATACACTTGGCCTTTGAAAACAAGGACTTCAGTCTCCAGCCCTGTCAGTCCCTCTGGCTCCTGGAAGTTTTCCTTCCAAATGGTTATTTCAAACCTCAGAGAAGTTTGTGTTTTTTTCAGAGCTATGATTAATACCATTTTTACGCTTCGTTGCAAAATGCCACACAATGAATGAGACCAGCAGGGTGGTGGTTTATGGGTGGGAGGGAAAAAAAAAATCAAACAAACACTTTCAGACACTGTTTTGGAAGAGTGATGTGTGTGTGCATGTTTTATAATCGGCTGCGAACTGTGGGGTTGGGTTCCTATTAAAAGGAAGAGGGGAAAAAAAGCTTCAACCTCATCTATGGAAAGAATGTTAGAAATAGTTGAGAAGCTGAATAATTACAGGGTTTTTTGCACCAGGTCAGTGAAAGCTAATTTAACATGCAGGATTGCTTTGCAATTACAGAGTCACAGGCTGGTTGAAGCTGGAAGGGACCTATGGAGTTGATCTGGTAGTTAGTTACAGCCGGTTGTCCAGGGCCATGTCCAGATGGTTATTGCGTATCTCCACAGATGGAGACTCCACAATCTTCCTGAGCAATCTTGATCACCCTCACAGTAAAATTAGGCCTAATGCACGTCAGCCATGGGTTCCTGCTCGTTACTGGTGCAGCTTGAAAAGCTTGCAGGGGTATGTGGTTTTGGGACAGAGTTGGCTTGAGAGCATGGTAAACACGGGTCTGCAGCTGAACCCTGTGGCTCGGGCTCAGCAGTGCTTGTCTGGGACTAGGGAGCTGGTTGGGCTTGGCACAAGATGCCAGAAGTGGTGTGCAAGGAGGCTTGGTGCATGATGGCTGGATGTCTGGGAGCTTGTGGTCCCTCTGATTTGGTTTTGAGGCTGTGCCTGTAGCTGACCCTCCAGTCAACTCTGCTGTCTTTTGCTTCCCTTCCCTTGACACTGTGTGCCTACTCCCAGATGGCGAGTCAGTTTTCCACAGGAATCTGGGACTCATTTATCAGCATAAAATGAGGCTAATTACTGTCTTGTCTTGGTGGCAGACCCCAGGGAAAAGAATCCAAGAGATTTCATGTGGCTTTGTGCCCAATGTTTCTCGTCTTGGGGACACAGAGAATGTTAGTGCATGTGGGAGGTCACCTAAACCTCAATGTGGACATTGGGATCAGCACAGATTTGCTTCCTGGTGGCTTCATGTGCATCCCTCATACACGGAAAACAAGCAAAGCCAAAGATTATACTCAGGATCTGGTTCCTCTACTTGGTCACTAGTGTTTCTTCCTGTCTTCCATCCATGGAGAGCAGTAGCCCTTGTTTGTTGCCCTGGTTGCAATTTTTTTTTTTTTTTCTCTAGACCATGTTCTTTTCATCCTGTTTTGGTTGCTGATAAGTGATAGGAATAGCAGGAATGAGATGATGGCTCCCAGTGAACACTCCCACTGTCCCATTCAGCCTTTGTGCCACTGACAGGGGTGTTTTTTCATTAAAAATAGACACGGACAATGCCACTTCCTGAGGACTGTGATTTATCATTTAATAACAAGTGGTTAGTCATTTCCTTCGGAAAACTTTCTGGAAGTGTTATTTTTCTTTCTCCCCTTGCTTCCTTTTTTTTTTTTTTTTTTTTTAATTTCCTTCAAAACCCTGCATTACCTGTCAAAGCCACTGTGTCTGTTAAATGAAGTGTTCTCTTTTCAAAGTGTGTCGCAGTTTAACCCAGCCAGCAGGTAAGTACCATGCAGCTGCTTGCTCACTCCCCCAGCAGCAGGACCAGGGAGAGAACTGGAAGGGCAAAAGCCAGAAGACTCATGGGTTGAGATAAAGGCAGATTAATAAGGAAAGCAAAAGCCGTGAACACAAAAAAGGAAAAACAAAGAATTAATTCACACTTCCCATGGGCAGGCAGGTGTTCAGCCACCTCCAGGAGAGCCCCATCACACATAACAGTTACTTGGTAAGACAAACTCCATCACTCCAAACCTCCCTTCCTGCTTCTTTTTCCCCCCATTTTATATACAGAGCAGGTTCCTGTGGTATGGAATATTGCTTTGGTCACTTTGGGTCACCTGTCCTGGCTGTGTCTCCTTCCAATCTCCCATGCACTCTCAACTTCCCTGCCCGCGTGGCGGTACGGAAAGCAGAAAAGGCCTTGGATCTATGTAAGCACTGCTCAGCAGTAACAAAAACATCTGTCTATTATCAACCCTGTGTTCAGCACAAATCCAAAACATAGCCCCATACTAGCCACTGTGAAGAAAATTAACTCTATCCCAGATGAAACCAGCACAAGTGGAAATCATATTTGGGATTTAAAGATCATGAAAATAACAAGTCTTAACCCTTTGGGCATGGGCTTTCCTTTGTATACACCTACAGCCCTGAAGTCTTAGTTTAGCCAAGAGAAACAGCAATGGAGAGACATCTGAGTAGGTGGGACTTGAAATATGGTGATGGTAATCTTGAGTGTGGACTGGATGATCTGCTTGATCTGACTAGAAGGAAAATTTCAAGTAACTTGAGGTATTGTCTTGAGTTGCCAGATCTTAGCTGTGATACCTCCTGTTGTGGAGGAGCAGGATGGAGAGCTTGCAGAACTACTAGGCAATCATACCAGGTCTCATTTTAGTGACTTTACCAAAAAAAAAAGTGCTGAAAGCTGTTGAGTAGTTCTCGAGGAAATCCCAATGGCTCAGTAAACAAACTCGGGAAATGTGCTGATGATGACATCATCATAAGTGAGTACTTAAGAAGCTAAAAGAAATAGTTCTCTGTTGGGTCAGGAAGGCATTTCGAAGGTCAGTAGCAAATTAGATGGTAGACTGCAGAGGATGCAGAAGATGAAATGCATCCAGGGACATGACAGGTACTTTAGGTAATAACATCTACTCTTACAGTTGCCTTAATGTGATGCAGGTAGAGGTAGTTTAAAGACAAGAAAAATAAATTCAATAAAGACAAGTGCAAAGCACTCTTGGAAAATGGATGCACATACCTAAATTGAGTAGTAACTCTCAAAACGAGCAGGTTAACTACAGAAAGGGATCCGTGAGCTGCAGTGAATCACAGGCTGCTTGTGAATTGCCAGTCAGATGCTGTTACAAGAAAGGCAGATCTTGAAGAGCCCAGAGAAAAATGGCAAAGCTAATAATTCTTTCTCTTCAAACTTCATTGTCCTATAAAACCTCATTTCAAATACAGCATCCAGTCTCAGCCCCTCTATTTTAAATAGGAAAGCAGGCGTCTTGGGAAGATGAAGTTTCTGTTTGGGAAAATTTACTTACAAGGAATAGCTGGAAGATTTGCATATGTTAAACCTAGGGAAAAAACAACAGGCCACAGGTGCCAGGCCATGGTTTGATGGGATGCTGTCTTCAGCAGTAGTTTTGGAGCCAGATGTCTTTGCTCTCCTGATGCTGACTGTGCTGCAGCTCATTGTGTGATCTGTTGTGTAGCCACAACTTGTGTGTCCATGCTGTGAGCTGGGACAAGGAACTTCTCTTAGTACAGGAAAAGCTGAAGAGTGTCTCCAGATTTATTTCAAAGTATGGGTATGCAAGTTTGCATGGATAACACATGGCATGCAGGAGGAAGGAGGGCAAGGAAAGGAGCTGGAGGCTGAGCACGTGGTAGAGTTGAGACTTGAAGGGAACACAGCAGATTTGAGACATCCAGGATGTGAAGAGTGCAGCACATGATGTCATTCCATGTCCAATGACAGTACTAAAATTGCATACAGGGAAGTGCTTCCCTGGACACCATCATCCAGTGCATCATCTCTGCCATGCCTGGTAGCAGCGAGTAGGCTGGCATTTCTCAAAGCATAGGTTCCAGCTCCCGGTGGTGGTGGTGAAGGAGAATGAGTGATACTGGAGCTGACCCAAAAAGCATTAGAAACCTCTTTGTTAGAAGCACAGCAGCCCTTCTTGGATGGTGGGGCAGGTGGTGCTCGTTGCTTGGAACTGTGGCTGAGTCCTGCTTGCTCTTGGCAAGGCTCTGCCCGTGTTGCCTTGGAGAGCAGCACGAAGACAAACAAGCCCAAGAGAGGGTTCAGGGCTGGGTGGCTTTTTGACGCCCCTCCTGGCCCAGCATTCCTGCAGTCCTTGCATCCAGATTTTGGCATGGCTTCTGCCCCTGTCAGTCCTGCTGAGGTTGAGTGTCTCAACATGTTCTGAATCCGAATTTCCGACATTACTGCAATGCACTAGGATTTTTGGCTCTTGGGAGTAGTTCAGTTGACCACAAATTGGTCACTCTCTGCTGTGATATAAGATGATGATTTCCTTCCCTGCGGATGCTAAACCAAATACCCCTGCAACTGCAGACTGATGGGGATGTTACTGGGCTGGTGTTTGCAGCTGATGGGAATGTGCTTGAGCTGTGCAAGCCTCAGTGATTCAAGCTGATACTTATGTTTATGATGAAATGGTAAATGCCTTGTCTGTTCTGTCCTACCAGCTCTACCCCCCGGGGAAAAAAAGGGATTTTACTGCAAGAAGAAAGTATATTCTGGTATTGGTTGGTTGATAATGAGAATGCAGAGCATCAAAGCTGAAACAGTGTGTGCTGGGTTTTAAAATCACTGGAGGATATAGAAGTGCCTTAAAGAGGAAGATTATAGATAGGCAGACCTACTGGATACGCCTGGTCCATTTTTTGTAGGCTGCAGAACTTTCCCCAGTGGTTTGCAGGGTTCCCTTGACTTGCTGCATCCCTGAACAGCACAGAGCGCAGCATTGGTGCCTGCAGTATTGGAGGATGTAGATGAAAGCCTTACTAGGAAGATCCAGGCTTCAGTTCTAGTTTTGTTGATGCTAAAATTCCCCTGGGGAAAAAAAATGCTTGCTATGCTTGCTTGTGATATGTGTGACGTGCTGGCACTGACTCTTGACTTGTGTTGATCTAGATTGCTTAAAAAATAAAAGAATCATGGTAATTTGTCTTAAAAAGGGTACAGAGAAAGTGAAGAAGAGAACAAGCAGTTTGCTTATTCATTGCCTTATCAAGGCTAACAGGCTGGGGCTTGCACTGGGGAGAAATCAAATCCCCAGACAGTTCCTATCTGCCGTGTAATATCACCAAATAAAGGAGTGATCACCAAGTGGAGCTTGATGGATGAACATTCCAAGCTGCACTCCTGAAATCCCATGGTGCTGTACAGGTGACTCAACAGCATCAGCTCTAAATGGGGAAATGCAGAGCCCAGCAACTGCTGGACTTCAGAGGAAAGTTTGGTAAAAGGGAGCTCTGCAAAGACATTGGCAAAAAAGATTTTTAAAATGTTTTTAAGGGAGACAAACAAGTAGCAACTAACTTTATACAGAATAGCAACTAACTTTTACAGAAGTCCGTAGAAGGAACAGATCTGCTATTTTAATAACAGCAGTGAGTGAATTACATGTAAGGATGGAATCTTGGCTTTGGTGACTTCACGGGACTAGTACTTCATACGAAGGTATCACTTCAGATCTTCTCTGAATACCTTTTGGTCAGCATTTTTAGAAACATTCACAGCTTTTATGTGACGGCATGAGAGACTGGTAAATTGAGCCATGGAGGAGTTAGGACAAGTTTGCTTGCAGGACTTGTGACCCTGTGGAGGACCCACACTGGAACAGTCTGCTCTGCACCTCATGGAAGGGACACGTGCTGGAGCAGTGTGTGAAGAACTGTAGCCTGTGGGGAAGGACTCATACTGGAGGAGTTTCTGGAGGACTGTGTCCTGTGGAATGATGGAGCAGGGGAGGAGTGTGAGGAGTCCTCCCCCTGGGGAAGAAGGACACAGGTGGTGAACTAACTGCAGCCCACATTCCCTGTCCCCCTGTGCTGCTGATAGGGAGGAGGGAGAGAAAATAGGGAGTGAAGATGAGCTCCTGAAGAAGGGAGTGGTAAGGGGAAGGTATTTTAAGATTTGATATTAATTTCTCATTATTATACTCTGATTTGATTGGTAAAAAAATTAAACTATTTTCCCCAAGTCGAGTCTGTTTTGCCCATGACAATAACTGATGAGTGATCTCCCTCTGTCCTTATCTGCACCTACAGGCCTTTTGTTCTATTTTCTCTTCTCCCCAGCTGAGGAGGGAGGTGACAGAGTGACTTTGAGGGGGCACCTGGTGTTCAGCCAGGGCCAACCCACCATAGCATTGTAGCAGGGCTCCTGCTGGCATGTGCACTTTTCCTCTCTCTGCTTGGGCTCGAAAAGCCACGTGGAAGAGTCTGCTTATGCTTGTTCCAGAGGGGACTCCACGTCTGCCGCCATCCTTCTACCCACCCACGTCTAATGGAAAGAGGGATGTGTTGGAAGAGGAATTGAGTGTCAGTGGGTCCCCAAGTTTCCCTCTCACTTTGCCCTCCACCTGCATTATGGGTGGAGAAAAGCCATTAGGGTTTCAGTGCTGACCAGTCTGGGTCAACAGCAGCAGTGGTGCTGGGCTGTGTGAGCCAGAGGCTGCACCCATGCTTTGAAACACCATGGATGAGGAGCCCTCAGGCTCCTTGGGGGAATCTGGTGGTTAAAAGTGCTTCAGTGTGCTTCAATACATGTGAAAGAGGGCATCTTGCATTGCCTACAGAAGATTCACTTTGGGATTGTGGATGGGGCTGGCAGTGGTCCCAGCTCTGTGTTTCACAGCTCCCATCAGTGGGTACCAGGTGGGTTTCCCCCAAATCAAACAGGAAAGCTTCTCATTTGGGGGCAGCATCCATCCTGTTTCATCACCATCTGTCTCACCTCTGCCTGCCTGCTCCATAAATTGTTCTTGGAGGCTGACCTGGAAGTATAATGATGTCAGGAGCAGTAGGATGCAGGAACTCAGACTGGGACTTGTCTGATACCCATGGGGAGATGTTTAATGTTGTTGTTCTTCCCTTGATGAATTTGTCCTAAGGCTGTTGGTGCTGCAGGGCATTTTGAGCAGGTGGATACCAAACAACATTTGTGCCCAAGTGGGTCATCCAGCCTCTGGTCAGTTTTCCTGTGAGAGTGTCTCTCAGGCAGGATCAGCACCTCGACTGGGTGGTGCCCACAGAGAGCTCTGTGGTTTCCTCCTGGGGTGGATGCTGATGTGTGCAACACTGCCATAGCTTTGCTTTCATCTGCTCATCTCCCTTGCTCATGGCATGGCATTGTTGTGCTGAAAGCAAGGAACCTCAGCAACTGCCGAAAGGTGACGAAGCACACACAGCTCTCCACCCCAGCTCTTTTGCCCCATTGTTGTCCCCAGTTTTATATTTGCCTCCCTCCAGCTCTGTGGCTGGGGGCCACTGGTGACCATCCCCACAGCAAAGCCTTTCTCTGACATCTTCTTCCTCCTCTCTTCCATCCTGCTTTTCCCTCCCTCTCAGGCTGCCAGGTCACTCTAAGCAACTTTGGCTCCTGTCCCAGGAACAGTCTCTCAACACACGCAAACCAGGAAGGCTAAAATAACACTTTAAAATTGTTAAATAAATAGCGATCAGTCTCTACTTAAATGGGAAATGCAGCTTAATTTGTTAAAGGTTTTTTGTCCTCCCTTGGACAGAGATTCAGCCAGGCGTGTGTGTGTGTGTGTGTGTGTGTGTGTGAAACATTTCTTGTAGCTTGTAATCTGCATCTCGTGGCCCCAAGTGGGCAGAGAGGGTTATGTGACTCTGAGTTACCAAACACTTACAGTAAAAGTGTAGTCATCCTGAACCTCAGCCAAAGAGGTGGAGTTCTGTAACTTCTTTCTTTTTTTTTTTTTTTTTTAATGCTTTCCCCTCACTCCCTGCAGGATGCTGCTTCGTCACTTGCATTCTTCACCCGGCCAGCCTGTTGGAAAGGCAGAAATCCTCTGAGCACAGCAGTAACTCTTTCCAGACTACCAGCAGCAGTAGTACATCTGCCTCATTCCTTCTCCAAGAGCTTAGTGCACAGGGCAAGTGCATCCCCTATCCTGCAGCAAAGGAGTGGCTGTCAGCAGAGGTGCCCGTCTTCCTGAAACCTGAAACACGCTCATTTTCTCTCTGACACCTTTTTCAAATCTGAAGCGAAAATAGAATAGCTGTTATTGTCATGTGAGAATGGGAGACTCTGGATAAGCATTTGTGAAATATCCAGAGAAAATGGATGCCGGCAGTGGC